GGGTAGCCCATGGATCATCCACTGGTGTATCATCATCTTCACTTTAGATAACCATATTGGGAGGATGCCTAAGGCATCCATGAGATGATGTCTCACCAAGTCCACAGATCCCGTGCTGCCACTCTCCACATGGACCAGTCTGGTAAGGGAACAAAACTGATGATAATCCTCATATGTGATATAATGATCTGTAGTCTGTAGTCTATTCCGTTCAATTTCACCCATAGGATTTTAATGGATTTTATATGACTTAAGTTTTATGAATCATGCTATTTCTATTCCAATAAATTTAGCCACCAGGATTTTTTGATTTCATGGCGTATCGCCCTGGCGTACATCCACGACCGCAAGCTGCAGGTTGGGTGACAGCGATGACGAGGACGGCGTCACTGGGCATCCCACCTTGAAAGTCGTGGAGACCGGTGTGGTGACCAATGAGGGCATTGACACCTCTCCAGCCGCCAAGCATCGGGGTGACTTGGGAGACTTGGGAGATGGTGGATGTTGAGGGGTGATGCTTTGCACTGCAACGTCAACATGGGGGGTTGAAGCAGAAATATTGGGATTTTTTACCAGCAAGATGGGGGTTCAATATGGTTTAACCAACAAAAGCAGAGTACAAAACCAACCTTGATGGGATATATATATATATATATTATATAATGGTATATACCTAGCCAGCAATATGATCTTGTGGAAGTGGAATAGGTTGAGGCTGGTTTTGATGGTAGAAAACTTGGGGTGCCTCAAAGTGATGTACTGCAAATGGATGCTTTCATGGGCTCGAAATGTTGAAATACACCCAACCAGGAAGATATGAGATCATTATATATATATATATACATATAATATACAGTAAGATAATATATATATATACCACAACAAATGGAGGTATACTACAAAATAACATGGGCTAGCCCATCATTGCAAGGTTTCATTCATTTCATGTCACGGTGCGAATGTTGGCCGGATGGACCTGAGGGGTGACCAAATCCTTCTGGCACAATTCTTCAGAGGCACCAGCAATTCATGCCCATAGCAGCATTGATTATAGAATGATGTGTCTATAATATGTCTATAATATGAATATGCCTATAATGTGTCTATAATATGTCTATGTTCAGCAAACTCAAGTACATGTTTATTTTGGTCAAACTCAAAGACATTTGGACCCATTGACTTGGCCCATTTTTATCAACGGAACGACTGAGGCAAGCCGCGCAATCGACAGGATGCATAGGGGCAGCGACGAGCGTTGAGCACTGACCTTGGCTGACTTTAGATGACCACCCTGTCAACCGGGTAGACCAACTGGTGCCAACGCTGGCAAACGAGATTTCTAGTGCATTCGCAGTAGTTTTTGGGTTACATCTTGTGGCGGGTTGCCGCAACCTGTGAAAATTTCGGCATAGGAGCAAGCAGTAAGCAGATGTAAGCAAGAAACCAGGAGGGTCACCAGTACACTATCCTGGTTTGCAGGACTGATGACCGAATGGTCATGCGATATGTGGTCTTTGCGGTCATGTCGTCATTGGCTGTGCGCCTCCTAGAGCAGGCTGTCCGCTGTCGATGAAAACAGGTCGACCACTGTCGGCCCAGGGCGGTGTGTCTCAAAGGTGGCTCAAACATCATTGCTTTGTAATGATCCATATATATATATATATTATACAAATTATTTATATTATATATTTAGAATTGTAATCCATATAATATTCTATATAATATATAAAAACATATATATATATATTATCAGAATGTATCCAGTGGTTGGGAGGGAGCTAAGGCAACTTATTCCCTATGGAGCCACCAAGAGTTTCCCAACTCACCACATGGCCTTAGTTATCGACATGATTGAGACCCCTGTCACTTGGTGGCTGAAGATTGGGATAGCCATTTTTTCAGCCTGGAGCCATGATGAAAGCCATTTGCTTCCGGATGTTTTGAGACATACCCAACTGGTTGGTAGGTTTTGTTGATGTTCGATTTCTATCCCTACCTGTGATGGTGACAAGATGATGGCCATTTTTTTCAGGGAGCTTGAAACCACCAACCAGACAAATGCAACTAGGCTGTTCTCAAGTTGAACAGACCCAAGTTCCGCTTAAAAATGCCTCGATCCCGGAAAGCTGTGCAGCTGAATTCGAAAGGTAACCGTCAATCCCATAGCATCCATATTGATGGTATATTCACCAATAGAACTGGGTGATTTTAGAGGTAAATGTAGGTAGATACATGTAGATACATACCATAGATGATTTGGGTATGGGCTATGGGTTTTCTGATTCAATGCTGGGAAAGACTAAGACTTGGGAATACCAAAAAGATCCAAAAAGTAGTTTTGGCCCCAAAAAAAAGTATAATGCAAGTCATAACATAAACATGGATGATTCTGATCTTCTGTTTCAAGAAAACAGTAGCTGCTGTACAGACCTTAGCTCTGATAGGTTTGCCACATTATACCCGCCGTAGATCCCCTTAGTGAAGTACCTATGGGAACGTGAACATATCCTAAGATATAGTTTGTTCCTGTTCCAGTTGTTCCAGTTAAGTTCCAGTTAAGTTCCAGTTATTCCAGTTAAGTTACAGTTGTTCCTGTTATTGTGGTTGGTTGGTTGGTTGGTTGGTTGGGTTGGGTGGGTGGTTGTTGTCCTCGTTGTCGCTGTCGTTGTTGTCGTTGTCGTTGCTGCACATCTCTCCGATGATTTCACCCCCTTTTTTGTCGCCCAGCGGGGTGGCCTTTGCCCTCGCAACAATGGCGAGAGCTGCCCCGTGGAAGCGTGGTCGATGGGTGGCAACATGGCGCGAATACAGAAAACGGCAAGACGGTGGAGGTTTGCTGGGTGCAGTTCATCACCAAAATACCGCCAAGACATGGTCATACATGGTGAATCCATTGGACCGGTCGTTTCTTGGGGGGAGACCTCCAGGGGTCGGAAAGTGTCAGAAAAAACAACCACTGACTGACAAGTATCACGATGTTGGTGGTTAAACATCAAGATCCCTAAGTTTCTTGAGAAAACATCATGGGAGGTTTGCATCGCATCTCCACTTTGTACTCTTTTTGTTAGAAAAATAACATATCCCCAGAAATCTCGACTGGGCTGAATCTCGAGATTTGATGATCAGGTGCTGGCCCAGAAAGATTGCGAGCTGGAGAAGCTGTGCTTGTCAATGAACTGCATGAGCCACTGGCCTGAGATGAAAGCGTCGGGGTGAATGGGTTCATGTCTAGCACCGAAAATCTATGAGGCAAGACACTAGCCTGGTGATTTATGACCAGCACTTTGGAACTATGGTTGTATCCGCATTTCTTATGAAATCGAGCCAAGCTACAATCAGAGTTTCCCAACCACTGCCAGATTTACAGCTCTTGGTAATTACTCTGTGCGAATCAAACATGGCAATGGAGAATCCACCATTTACAGTTGCGATTCATAAAGCATTCCACCAGCTGCTGTGGATTTTAAAACTTAGAAGTTGACATGTGGTGGCATGCACCAAACATAGCATGGCCACTGCGCAAGGATGACATGTGACTGCCATTGCAAAATGGCTCAAGCCAACGAAAGTTGGCTCAAGGGCGAGACGAAAAAGGTCTTGCCTAGCAGCTGCTGCTTCAGCTGTTGATCCACGGGTTATGAGCCCAAGGGATCTCAGCTGACATGGAGTTGGCCAGTCGTCGAGAGTCTTCTCTTCAGCGAAGAGCTGCTGCTGCTGTTAGCGCTGTGAAGGCTGCCGGCTGCGCAGACGACCTGATGGAGGAGATGTTGGAAGAAGCTGCTGGGTCCGGAACTGGTGGGTCTGTTGGAGCTCTAACTGGTGAACCTAATACCACTGAACTGAATAGTGGGGGTATGTTGGATGCTTTGGGACCTGTAGGACCTCCGTTGTCTTTTTCCCCTGGTCAGCCACCCATGTTAGTTGAGAGAGCTAAGGGAATGCAAAACCTCGAGGTGAAACAGAATGTTGAAAACACACCTGGTGTCAAAAGGGTCGTTGTGACAGAGCAACAAACTCGGAACCCACCAAATGAGGGGACTGGAACTACCACCGAATCAGCGCAGGGGATTGTGAATGAACATAGTCCTAGAGATGGTGCTGGTAAGGAAAAGGGGTCTAGCTCTGAGTCTGGCAGAAGGGAACCCAGAAAAACTGTTGCCGCAGAAGCACAACACTCAAACCGGGATGTGCAGAGCTCACGTGTGAGGGGTTCTGAGGGTGTTGAAAATGTGTCGCAGGACTCACGAAGGAGGGGTTCTGTTTGTGAAAATGTGTCGCAGGACTCACGAATGAGGGGTTCTGTTTGTGAAACTGTGTCGCAGGGCTCACGAATGAGGGGTTCTGTTTGTGAAAATGTGTCTCAGGGCTCACATGTGAGGGGTTCTGAGGGTTGTGAAATTGTGTCCCAAGACTCACGCATGAAGGGTTTTGGTTGTGAAAATGTGTCTCAGGGCTCACATGTGAGGGGTTCTGAGGGTTGTGAAAATGTGTCTCAGGGCTCACATGTGAGGGGTTCTGAGGGTTGTCAAAATGTGTCACCGGGTCCCACTGGAAAGGGTTCGGGTGTTGTGAGTGAAACCATGCCTCAGGGCTCCAATGTGAAGGGTTCAGGGGTTCAAAGGTTTTACATAGGTGATGGGCCTCAGGGCTCCGGAGCCGTTGTTGTGGCGCCTCAGGGCACCGAAAATGTTGTTGTGGTTCCAGACCAAATGGGGAGTGTTGTGAATCCCTTCTGGAGCGAAACTCAGCAGCGTGAAGCTGTTCGAGAAGCATTCGGGCCTGGGTACGATGTGAGTGCCTTGGGTTTGCAGCCGGGTTCAAATGCGTCGACACCCCAAAAAGTTCATGTGGGACAAAGGGAAAGTGTTGATGTTGAAATGGATCCAATTGAACTGTTCCGATTGCGTTGTTTGAGAGATGCTGAAGAAAAGTTTCGGCAGGGTTTGTTAAATATGGGGATGAGTGCTAAGGAGTCAAGGGTTGAAAAACATGAGAACGAAAAAGGGTCGCATGGTTCCCAAAGTTCATATGTTTCGGCAGTGGATTTCCAGGAACATGTTGCCCCCAAATCTCATGATGTGGTTGAATCCCAAATGGTTCATGATCCATATGTGAGGGTTGTACCTGAAAAGGCTGTGACGTTCACGAGGGTTGCACCTGAAAAACTTGTGTCAACTGTGTCAAATGTTGTTGAACCATTTGTGCCTAGGCCACCACCTGGACCTCCACCACCATCGCCGCCAAGAATGTTGAATAGTGTATGTGGGTTAGGGTCAGTAACACCTCAATTCCCTCCTGCACTGCCACCTTTTCCTGCGTCTGTGGCAGGAAACTTGCAAAACTCAGGTGGTGAAAATCCATCTGAAAATCTCAGGACGGTGGACCTTCCGAAGTTGTCAATGGATGCCACTGCTCTGCAATTTGGTGATTGGCTCAGCATCATCGATTCTCTCATGGGTGACTTGTCTTACTCGTCGGGGGATTGGTGGACCATGGTCAGGGGAGCTGTTGATCAATGTTACAGGGATTGGTTGAATGTTGGACCAATTGAAAGGCTTAGGCTTCGTCCACAAGTGGATCCTAGGGTTCAATTGTGGCCTCGAACGGAAAGAAGGGCCTTAGCTATGCTTTTGGGAGCCATTCCTGACCCCATCAAAGAAGAAGTGATTTCAGCTCGCAAACTGACCACTGACCAAGTGTTGTACAAGTTGTGCATCACCTTCCAACCGGGAGGTGCCACTGAACGCACAAAGTTGTTGCAGAACCTTACGGATTCCAAATGTGGTTCCAATGTTCATGAAGTTTTGGACTGGATTCGAACCTGGCGACGGTTTGTTCAAAGGGCCAGGGAACTCCATGTCACGTTGCCTGATGGTTTGGTTTTGTTAGGGGCTTTGAACAAATGTACTGATGTTTTGAGTGGAAAATCCCCACAAGTGGCATATCGTCTCAACATGATCCGCCAGCAGTTGAATGTGGATCAGTTGCCAACAGCAGAGACGATCTTGAGCTACTCCGAGCATCTGCAAGCTGAAGCTGAAGAGCTGACTTTGAGCACGCCTGCGAAGGCAACTTCGGCTGTGAGGGCTGCTGCTTTGGGTGTGCCACCGCCTCCTGGGATCCCTCAAAATCCTCAAAGCTCCCAAAACCCCCAAAATGAATCGGATCAAAGGTTTCCGAACTCAAAAAGAAGGCCTTGTAGGTATTGGATGAGTGAAAAGGGGTGTCAAAGGGGCGATCAATGTTCTTTTGGTCATGCCAATTTGGATCCCCAAAGCAACAGATGTTTCAATTGTTCTGCTGTCGGCCATTCCAAACGTGATTGTCCTTTGAAAAATGCAGGGTCTGACTCAAAACATGATCCCAACAAAAAGAGGGTTGCCAAAGTGTCAAAACCAAGTGGAAAAGGGACCCCCGAAAAGTATGGGAAGGGTATTGGGGAACATAGTAGCCCTGAAAAAACTACTGGGGATGTTGCTGCAGCAGAGAAGCCTCTTGGATCTGAAACTGCGTACAGGACTGGGCCGGAAACTGGGCACGGGGGAGAAAGTACTCCTGAAAGGGTCACTGGGCTGTTGAGTGAAGCCGCTACTCTCCTGAAAACCCTCAAACCGGTTGCCAAGGCTG